GGTTTGAGTTTGGATTGTAAACAAACGCTTTCAATGAAGGTTACATTTTTGTTTCATACTATACAACTGATATGTAGCTAGTGTGTATTGTGGAACCAGAAACATGTGCTACAGTTTGAATTACAGAGTATGATAAATTGAAAATAATGTTCTATAGGTATAGTATGAATGAAGTGTTGTAGTACACGCACAGAAATCAGTACAAATGAAAGGGTATCTTCCAATACAAACGAGCGACTGTTCCTTAAATTTGAAACATAAACACCCGATACCGTATTTCCGGAATAATAACGACTAAAATAAAAAGCCACGTGTTGCGCCTCAAGTCCGTCTGTCCGAAACTAGAACGAAAGAGGATGTTGTAGTTTTTTGCAATAAGTTATCTAGCGAGTGAGTGCATCGTGACTTTGGCTACGAATATTGATTGATAGCCACCTGTGGCGAAAATTAATTACACATTTCGTGTTACACAAAATTGACTACCGTTTTAAACTCACAACCAACCTTCTTATACGTGGGTGATTTCTTCCTCAAATTTTAACGAGTGGCCTCTTTCAATAAAAGCAAATTTAACCTGTAGTGCTTAGAAGAATTTACCTGTGTTAGGGTTGTACACAGAAAGCATAGATCACCTCAAATCGCCTTCTCTATGTTCTCGCCCATCGAGACATATATGTACAGTCTTTGACAAAAGTAATAATCGCCGAATAGGTAAATGCTACAACATACGCAACCAACATTTGAATATATTGTGCTTGGAAATGCGAACCAATAAATTCAGGTATCTCCACTTTCAAGAAAATTTTATCAATGACCGTACGTGTGTACAGATAATCCGCTCCTCAAATTCTATTCATTAATGTACCATTTTAAACGTAATTACAATGGCAGCAATAAAAATAAATGTGCACTATCGCCGTATTTTATTTTGCACTCCACGGTAGATACACAGCGGTACACAAACCGTAGTAGTAGTAGGTATAGACATGGTAGCAGCATTATGATCACTAGAAGACTGCTCCGAACGGCGATTTGATTTTTTGTGGGATGTCGATGCTACGCAGTCAGAATTTACAGTCCGTTAAATGAAATTGTATTTCAGGCTTATTCTTTTTTTTTTTATTAAAAATTTAATTGTGTAAAGCATTGAGCATTTATAGGAGTTATGATTGTCTAAATGTCCATAGTCTCCCAATTATTTGCGAACATCCAGCTAACATCCAAATCTCTGTCCTGTTCATTATTTGTTATTATTATTGATGTATAACCAATTGGTATTGTACACTTTGAACCATTTGATAAATGGTTTTTGTTATAGGGTGTTAATACCTACCAAAGAGAACTGGTTAGTAGTTAAATTTCCCCTCTTACCTGTGTCGATTACCTGTATTACACCGAATAATGTAAAATTTAGTGTCTAACTGAATCTGCCTCAGAGCAGTTGAATTGTAATAAACCTTAAGGTGCGTTTTCACGCTCATGCAATTTGCGCAAATTGACTTGTGCATGTCAATTTGTGCAAATTCAATGAACTCATGCATCCATTTTCACGGTTCAAGTTTGGTGCACAAATTTGTCTACAGTACAGTTCAGATTGTCATTGTAAACGATGGACTACGAAGAGGAATTAATAGCATTAGCTGGTGTTTGTTTAATTAAAAAGTTAAAAGTGTTAAAAGAAAAAAAAAAGAAGATCGCAGAAGATGTGTCGTTTACACGTTCATGCATTTGCTCCAACCACATGCACATTATCTGACCATCCTTGCACAAGTAAACAATTTTCGATTTTATGCACCAATTTACTTGCACAAATTGGCCCGCACAAGTCAATTCGCTCAAATTGCATGAGCGTGAAAACGCACCATTTCAGCAAAGTATTTTTATTCAGTTTAATAGGCACTCGATAAGTAACTAAATGATCAGCAATCGTTGATTATCGCAGATATCGAGTAATAAACTCTTATAAAACCAAGAAAATGTGATTCTTTGACCACAGCTTCAAAATATATTGGCGGTCTTCCTTTAAACCCTACACATTAAACACTATCTGTGTATACATACAGTGTGTTTATCTTAAATTGGAACATACGATTCTGCATGCAATGGTGTTCCCTATGTTCCATTGAAAAAAAACGCATTAACCTATAGGATATGTGCGGTTCACAACTATACACACGTATTAGGTAATGCGCGAGTCAGGAGACGGGACTGCAAGTAAATCGCGGACTTGTCTTGCAGTGTTGTGACCTTTGTATAAATTTATAATTTCAATTTTCATCTCTTTAGAGTTTAGACAGCATTTATGAAATTTATCTGCAGGACGGTAGATTTGAAGGTGACAGTTGTACAGGGTGAGTCAACGATTGCGCGGAGTAACTTAATGCCTTTTTCGATAGAGTGCTTTTGTATTATGATATAGTTGAATATTCTCCACATTTTAAAAATATTTGGAATTATACAGGGTGCGCCCACAAAGTAGGGCGCCAAAACGGTACATTTTTTTTTAAATAGAACCCCCTGTATTTGAATGCATTTTTGAATTCGAAATATCAGAGATAGGTATAGGCCATTATTATCAAAAGTTGAAGGTTTTTGGAAGCGCTAAAAGATGACAGAAAAATATACAGGGTGTTCCATTTAAAAAAGTGAGATTTTTTAATATGAAGTTTTGTAACTTTAGATCTACAAGAAAACACCCTGTAAGCTATTTTTTCAATGTTTCATAGTGACTTTTACTTAACCCAGGATAAAAGATATAAAACCTGGAATCAAAACTACTCCTATAGGTTGACGCGTTTTTTTTTATGGAACATTGGGAAATAAAAATCGTATGTTCCAGTTTAAGATAAACGCACTATACATTTCCTGAGGTCTTGTGTCGCCAATAAAAGCTGGAGCTATGAGAAGTACCCAAAAATGAAACATGCGAATCGCGGGTGAACCGGGTATCGACAAAGGGAAGGTGGTAGCCGCCGACAAGATCTTACTAATGGTAGAGCAAAACTTCAAACCTGAATTTCGGGTGAACGGGACGTCGAAGATGGGTACCGACAAAGGGAATATGGTAATCCCCGAACAGATCTTACTTCAAACTCGAATTGCGGTGAATGGGACGTCGGAAGCGCTCAAGTCAAGGACTTTGATATTTTCAGTTTCGCGTTTGTATCTTTTTAATTACTTTTACATTAAATTTTGTACAAATTGTGTCTATACATTTTTACTACAGGATCAATACTGTGGGAGATACAAGGGATCGAATATGATAAAGCTGAATATATGTTAAAAATCAACACGGACTGTAAGCAGAGAGATCAGCTGTTCATTACTTACCTTAGCGGCTCAACCATACTGCACAGCTGCCAGTATACTGTAAAAATGTAAGGAACAGTACAAAAAGTCCCAGCTTTTTCATCTTCTGTCAGAAAAAAAATGCAGGCACACAATATCGAAACACGAATAGCTGCAGTGATGCTGACTGTCGATACGCATGTCGATGTTAAAGCTGCAGACAATCCAGTGAATTCTGTTATTGGGGAAGATGTTGATCTTGCAGTGCTTCTAATAGCTGTAACACTAACTCCACCAGCAAAAGAAATATATTTAGACAAGAGTGGAAGGGGGAAAATAAAAACCAAAATATTTCCTGCCCAAGAAATTCAAAAACATTCATTTTATTATTATTATTATTATTATATTTAGATGATAATAGCATGAGGCAAGCCTATTTATGCTATTTCGTTTAAGCTCATTTCTATCGGTATTTTGTTGTTCAATTCTTTTTCTTCACAGTTTCAGTGGTTGTGATACAACTTGAGCCATTTATAAGAAGGGAAAAACATCATTTATTGAGTTTTTTTAACAAAATCCATTGATAAAGGAAAGAACATAGGAACTGTCTTTTACGACCCAAAATCAGCTCCGGACGCCATAGCAGAAGCGTGTGAAGTTATGTTTCTTGCAGTCGCTCAATCTGACCTTAATAGACATCAATATAAAAGTTTTTTTTGCAATATTTGCTTGCATAATTTTGTACTTAAAGTGGTGTTTTTCGAAAGAAATTCCCCTTATGAGATGGTTTTGTCCGTCCGTCTGTTCTTCGTCCAACTCGAGAACCTGCGCTAACCGATTTATACGAGTTCGAGTATCAGTTCTATTGAATAAGAGCAGGATTTCCGAATGTGAGCAGAGTGTTAAAAAATTCCCCTACCGAAACTCGTATGCGATTCTTCGTTATCTTGTACTAATTCTTATCCAAAGAGGCCCATGGAGTTACGCTGACAATATTGGCGGTAGTGTGATATCTTTTAAATTATTAAAATAAAATTGGTCTCTTTGCTATATGTTGTCCTTTCAACATATAAAAGAAAGGGGATTATTTTTTGGGTTACAAGCAACAGATGAAATCCACGCGCAATTCATTTCGAGTGCGCACTCAACATAGTGATTTAAACGGTTTCATGCTTTTGTCCACCGCAATATAAAAGTTAATCAAGTGTGTAGGTACGCAATAAAAGTAACCTTACGCGAAGATGCGTATAAATGAGGGAGGTACTGAAAGTACCGAGTTACTCCCAACTATACTAGGTTCTACATGCAGGTAATTTTAATTATTACCATAAAACTAACGAAGCGTAAAGAATTTTAATTCGAAATTGATACTTTAATGGCACACGGCACATTTGATTTGACACTTGGTAAAGGATTCGCTTTTCGCTTTTGAAAGAAATATGGTCTTACCTAACCTATGTATGTATTGTTAAAAATGAGCAATTAAATTTTAAGATTTTCGAGTCAGATTATTTTCAAATATGTGTCCAACAACCATTAAGCTTAATTTTCTTTATTCGTCCATTGTGATACTTCCACCTTCACCCACGTATAGTCTAATGCGCGCTCGAGTAATTCATTCCGGAAGGCAGTGATTTATCTGATAGGCTGGTGTCTATTGTTACAAGTAAGTAGTTCCGTGCGCTGATCTCACCTCTTGTTTTCTGTTTCAGATGGTACAAGCTATACAAGTACTTCGGTTTCATCTCCTGGAATTAGAAAAGGTAAGCGGGTAACTTAAGGCCGATCGTATAAATTACATTTTTTGGATATAATTACCAAATTTTTGGAATTCATCGCCGCGCTCTGCTGAGTGTCTCGTATCATTAAAGTTCATATATCCATTACAGATACAGATACTATATTAATTTCATTTCGAATTAAGCCGACTCTCGTTTTCAACGGTCGAATTTTTGCACATGCAACTCAATCGGTATTCGGATAGATTTATTTTTAAAATTTTGAATACAAAGGAAAACACCGGAAGTACAATATGCGTTAGTACTAATAATTATGTAATATTCAAGATCTTTGCGGCAAATTGAATATTAAATCAACGGCGAAACCAAAATAGTGGGTGTAAGTAGTTCCGTGAAGGGTTTACGTCCTTGAAATAGCCATCGAGTCCGTGACTAACACTTGTAAAACTCATTTAGGCAGCGACTGTCTTAAGTGAATGACCCTTAACTAATTGTAACGAGATAGCCAAAGTAGCGAGAGTCACCCTTTGCATCGTAATTAGATGATAGGGGCGCTTCTTGATGATACTTCATCAATATAAAAATGATCGTCCTTTATTCGATACGCGTTACCTTTTTTAAAAGTCATTCTGCATCTCGTGCAACTGTGCTCTCGAGTGGAGGATGTGAGGAATTCTCTATTTAAATTTATACGTGTTCGACTTCGCAACGATACGAATACATTAAAAACTTAAAATTATGGAAATAAGCGTCCTGACCGGTCAACGTTTTGCATGTGCAGGTACATTTAAATTGCTAAAAGGGGACACTATCTGGGTTTATCTCTCTCTGGATATTATATTGGCGATCTGGTTGCGAGGCAAATGCATATAACCGGTTGTCCGAGACGTCGTCTTCGGCAGCCATCTTTAGGTGCCCTTCTTGAATTTAGAACTTATCCAAATGAATGTGCAGATTTTTCTAACAAAGAAACCTTTTGGCGAATTACAATATAACATATAAAAAATGTCATCTAATTCATATGCTTGGCCACATCCTTTAGACAGGCATCGTGCGCTTAAATACCAAATGCTGTTCGATATCCGCAGTTTGAAAACATGGATTTGTCTTAGAATATGTAAATATGAACATCGCAGATTTATGTAAATTACGTACACTCAAATTTAATAGAAAAGCACTTTTACTTTATAGACAGAAATGTAATTAATTTATTGCCAATAGTCAATTTTGTCACAAAATGCAGTCTGTGAGATAATAAGCCTACGATTTACTGCATATGTATATATCGGGAAAAATTATTTAAACAAAAGCCACAACTTTCGAAAACTTATTTGTTACCGCTTTGTTTTTCTTTTTCAAGAATACGGACAAATTAACTATAAATCTAATCTTTCATTACAATTCCCATAGAAGTGCTCCTCAGACGTCGCGCATCCATCATTTTTGCAACTGCAACATGTGTACCAATTTTTAAAGCGATTGGACGTTTCTACACAAAGCTATCGTGCCCACGGACAGACAGACAAACAGCTATACAAATTTCGAGGATTGTTAATCTAGTTTGCGCACGGTATGCAAGTAGAAAAGGGTCACTTTCCCGTCCTCTGGAATTTTATTCGTGGTTTGATTTATCTGAGTAACGGAGATGATAATAATGAAATTGACTCGCGACTATGTTTCTCAGAATTTCTGCTCTATAATTAAAATTGATGTCAAAATAATTTGAGATTGGATTTGATATTTGTTTTCATTTTCAAGCAAAAGACAGTGCAAATTTATCAGCCATTTTAATTGAAACAATCAAAATTCGATTATAAGTACATAATTAAATTAATAAATTGAAACCAAATTCCAAGAAATAAGTTACGATTTAAATTCATTACAGTATGTACAACAGAAATAAAAAGGAAATGTCCGTAATGAAGTCAATTAAGATTATAAATATTATTGTATTTTTTTCACTAACATTATTTACCCTTGTTATGGTAGCTGCAAAGTTGTAAGTATTTTGATTCAAATTTCTGGCTTTCAGCTCAAATATATAAATGGAAAATAACTAAGAACAATTTCTGTTTTGAACAATTTTTAAATTTCAATATTATTTTGGCAACCGTTTAAAATGATCTTGGGCCATATTTTTATTAAAATAAAAATCGTCAAGTAAGTTACCTTTTGTAAATAAGTAGAGCGGCAAAAGGTCATCAATTACATAACATGAAACTCTTAAAAATGTAGGCTCGCAATTTGGGCTCAAATTGGCACAAACTGTTCATTTAAACACAAACTCATTCAATCGAATTTATTCGATAGTTGCTGTAACAAAAAGTGGCCAAAATAGTTGATATCGTCTTAATTACCTTGTAATGTCAATAATCCAAATATTAAGTCTTAGGTCATATAGACGGACGTTTTTGTACATACGCGTTTATGTACGTACACTCAAAAACCGCCACACAAAAATGTGCACTATCACTGCCTACAAACACACCTTCAATTTCGCAGTATGTTGAGCGATACACAAGGAAGTAGTTTAGCACTGGCAGCAGTGGTGTGCATTGTTGTGCTCCAAACGAAATGAACAAAATGCGACAGAGTGTCCTACAATCAGGGATTTCTAAAAAAAAGAAATAAACAAATTCAAACTTATATAACAAAGAAATATTGCAGCTTACCTGATAATGTACGACGCTACTGCGACGCACAATCTGCATCCACACGTTGAACGCAGACGCACGCACAACGAAATCATTAACGTCATCTAAAATGATTGCGCATGTTTTTGTATGTGCGTTTTTAAGTGCACGTACAAAAACCTCGTCTGTGGGGTCCTTTAGACTGCGATATCCATTAAACAGGCGCGTATCAAAAACACACAACAGGAACATCTACTGATATTGGACGTTCAGCTAAAGATACGAGAGGGGGTCAATGAGGAAGTGTCTTGGCGTCAGATAGTCGGTGCTGTCAGTAGGATCACTGGTAATAGGAATTAGTGGACAGCTGTTCAGTAACGTGCCTAATTCCTCCAGCGTAAGGATGATTTTTTCAACTTGTCTAATTAGTAGGTTCTTAGTGGACTTAACGGCGGCTACAAACAATCCTCCAAAATGAGGAGGATGAAAAGACAGTTTGATTGGCAATGATGTCATAGTTTCTTCGTTTTATGGGCTTAGCGTTGAAACGGCGACAATTTAAACAATGAATGCGCTGGCTTGTAATGATTGGAGTGAAAGTATCCAATATTTTCTTTGTATCACGGATAAGGTGATGAGTAGATCGGCGTACAACCTACTTCCATGATTAATAATTGCATATCAGAGGAGCTAAGAAACTGGACCGGATGCATTGCATCTTGATTTTGCCAGTCGACCGCCCACCGTTTAAGCGCCCTCTTTCATCCACTTGGAGAGCAAAGGCGATAATGCGTTGGCCTTTCCTATTTCGGCATAAGTCTTCTGCGAAATCTAAAGGACGTGTTCGACGAACTTTATTTCGCGTATTATGAACAAATCTGATAACGTAGGCGAGTGAATGGATCAAACGTGTGTAAGATGAAAATCGTTGCAGAAACGAAAATGGGTCCTCTCGTATCACTGTGGTCGTAACAAAGATATTCGGATGATCGTCAACTTTGGTGCAACAAGAGTGCATGTTTAAGGTCCCGTCCACAGTACGGGTGATTCATCAATGAAGCGACGGAAAGTCCTCTTGAAGCGCGATCACAGTGGATTGTAATTGGTGCTCACGTGACCCCAGAGACCAACTCGTAATTTCTTTTTGTCAGCGGTCCAGTGCATGACACAATGTTGTATCGGAACTCTATCGGGTTGCTAAAGAAGACCAAGAACCTTAAAGGCAGAATCGGTTGTTTGGAAAGCGATGGGAGAGTTCAGCTGGCCTTGGTCAACCGATGTGAGCACTTATGGATAGTTTGAAGCCCATTTTCGTGAAGGAAAATGGCCCGGATGCACAGAGATTTGTGAGGAATGCAGAACCCGTATCACCGTACTCGTCTTCCATATTAGCACGGTAAAAAAAGTGGCGATAAACACGAAATTCAGGATTCAATAGTATCTGTCTATACTGGAAGCGTATGTCACTAATGAGAGTGAGGATCGGAAATCGAAATGATAATAATACGGAGGCGATATCTCGTTGTCCATTTTCATCTGGCGCTGAAGCGTTCTGTACGATACGTCGCTTTGTGTCGCTTTTCAATACACCCTGAAGAGGCATATGGATTACGTGGGTGTACTGGCGAATCCATTTTGGGGCTTTCACTGCTAAGCGATTTTAATACCCATTGCAACTGTAGGAAACGTATTCGTTGGCCAATAAATGAATTTTTAGCGGGAAGGTCCCGTAGCGTTTAATCGATAAGTGTCCTATTCCGGAGACAGACCTTTTTTCCGTATCCGAAGTGTACTTTCCTAATTAATTCATGAATTAAGCGAAGCGTACATGCGGTTTTGTCTATCATAGTGCGAACAATATGACCACGACTAAAAGCATAATACACAGCGCAAGAGACGGTGCTTTAGAGAGTAATGCTGGCAAGGTCTCGATTCTTTGTAAAATTTACAGACGAATACTTACCGACAGATGCAGGATTGAACTCGTGGATGAGCTTATAGTGTCTTTTTTGACAACTGCGATACGAAATTTAAGGATTTGCAGTCACCAACCATATGACGAGACGAAAAACAGTTTAAACACAATTTATTAATTTTGATAAAGTCAAAACGCTCCCTTCCAGGTAACATTTAAAACTACCACAGTTAAATAATTGATGAAAATTCATACAATAAACACAAACAATAGATGGCGCTGTGCTAATTCTTATTGGGGGTTGTGTAGACATAGGCTTAGATAAAACTATTTGTTCCGTGTGAGTAACGAAAGTTTTAGTTTTGGGATAAAATGGCTTAATCTCTTTATGGGCTTTGCATTCATCGGTATGTAATTCTTCACTACTTGCGCGAACGTGTATAAAATGAAATAGCTCTTCAGTAGTAGCATCCAATATTAGTCCATTCAGATATCAATCCCTAAAAGATAGGTAACTTAATTTTTGGTAGGTTTGAAGAATTAGACATTTGCGGTGCTACATGCGAGCATCGGCGCACTTTCTTTACAAGTGTTAGGTATAGCGAAATTTATTTACAAAAGCGAAAAGTGACAAAATCACGAAAAAGTTCACCCAACGCAACGCGCACACTAAACAACTTCCTGATCCAGTTCGAATTTGTTTTAGATTAGTAGTGAAGATTCTAATTTATAATTTAAAGCGAGTATTCGGAAGGGCAAGTTACATAGCACAACAAAATGCAACTAACCTTTTACGGCTGTGCGTTCCAAAACTCTATGGCGTCTTCTTCCTTGATAACTGTCTATTTACAATTGATGGTCACATGTAAATAAATTTGTATAGTAGGTACATACACCACAAATCATATCAAATCTCTAACATCTCTTAATTCACTAACTAATTTTTTCCGATAAACTTATAATTACACAAACACACTGTCTTTAGTACATCTGAAAACCGAAAAGCCGGTATCACGACTCCAAAAAATGGGCCGTACTCCACCCAATGGCGAAAGCACGGCGGCACACATATGGCCCAAGGTGAAAGTCAGAAAGCCACGGCGCCCGTTAAAACACCCTCTCTTGTGCAATCTTTGGTTCCACTTCCTTATTCTTTAGTTACAAAATTCTCTTATCTAAACGCGCATCTGCGACAACATCTGTTTACAAAATTAATTGACTTTTAGCGTTAAGCGCAACTCTTATCGTAACGTAAATTTGTTAGTTTCCTTTTTTTGTGAGTTTATTTAAAGAGATTTGGCGCCTTTTCATTAAAACTTTTCGCCTACAAGTTTCGGTTCGGGCATTAACATCATTTTTTTAAATACGGCCCTGCAATTTTCTTTCTGAAAAAATACGTGTATCACATTGCCTATAGTTATTAAATGCTATCACCCAAAGATGACATTCATGTTAAACTGTCTTGATGCATCTCTCAAATCGGTTCTTGTCCACATTGTAAGCGGCGTTAGATTTGGCACCTGTACCATAATAGGTCAATGTGACCCAAATTCCTGCGCGACCAAGGACAAACAGGACTGCATATGCTAAAGCAGAGGAACGGTTGTTAGATCAAAATTTAATAAACAAAAACATTATTGATAACAAGAGAGATTAAAGGCACGAAGCGCAAAGAGGAAAAGATTCTTCCCATAATGACACAAGATCACAAGCAATATAATACGTCTTCTACAAAAAAAGTTTTGTGGTTTTGGTGCAGAAACTACTACGAACATTTATTTAAACGAAGCGTTGATAATTTGACAAGTGACAATGAGCGTCACAATTAAAAACACTACTTATTTTTAATTTGCTAACGAATCACTATACCCAGTTTGCTCGTGTTTGGTTTCAGTTCATCATGACTACACTAAAGTCTATTACACATTAATAAAGAATTGGTACAAATCTAGTTTTGGAACAGACACTATTGCAAGAATTCATATGTTTCTTTTCTTGGTCAATGCACACAGTTTCTTAGTTGTGGGTAGTTCACGTACATTTTGGCATGAATCTTCGACCAGATTTTTTTGTATATAATGTTTATTTCTACACAAAAGTTTAGTTTGAAACATCTTTTGTTACAAACGTAGAACATGTGGTTTTTTTAATTTACATTTCGTAGATTGTGTTTGATAAGATAAAAAAAATTTGATTTATAATAAATTTCAAAGACGTATAAATGTAACTGCGGAATGCCGACGCCGCCGCTTTAAGTTGGTTCCTTCACATACACATATGCAGATTATTCATCAATCTTTTAAAAGCACGACCTTTAACAAACAGTTGGAGTTGTTTTCAAGTTTGTGTGTCGGAAATATTTTAGGATTTATAAATAGCAGAAGTTTCTTTATCTTATATCTTTATGTAAATAAGCGATGTACATTTCTTTACTATGATGTTCATTTGATGTCAAGTTAATGAATCGTCGTTAACGATATTTATTGTAAAGTATATATTTCGGTCAGTTGGGAAGATCAGAATTTTGATGGGATTGTCTATAAAGGAATTTGGTGAGAAATGGCCCAAAATAAAAAGTAAGAGTTGTCATCTTCACGATAAAGATCGCAAAAGAACAGGTTGTTTCTAATCTTCTACGGGAGAATCTAATTTACTGCCTCGTATTTCGATCATTAAAAAGTACATAAAGTATGTAAGTTTGGAACTCGTTTTGAGAAATGCAGTGTTCATCGGCAGATAGCGGAATGTGCCGCCGGACACCTCATAAAGCCGATCTAGATGCCATATCCTCCGTAGACCGATAAAAACACTTAACAATTAACAGTCTTTGATAGGCCTTTTAATGATGACGAATTTATATACAAAAACGTATTTGTGTTCATAACCTTGCGCGCGGACACATCACTTAATTCCACTTTTTCTGTTTTAAAACATTCGTCATAAGAAATGATATTAAAAAGAATCGTACAAAACGTCTCCTACGCAGTTGTCCATCCAGTCTGAAGGCCAAATCCTATACCTACATCGGTTCGGACCTAGCAAGCCATGTTTCGTATGCAAATGAGTCCACTTTCTTTTGATTCGTGTGCGGTTTGGTCCAAGCCAAGCTCTTATGTTAATGTGCCGCATCAGACTGGTTTCATTTTTTTGCTTCTGATCGATCTTAACATTGTATCGAGTAAAATTTAATTTTCTTTTTTCTTCAGGTACACGAACTCTGTGACAACTTCTGCCATAGGTATATAAGTTGTCTAAAAGGAAAAATGCCCATAGACTTAGTAATAGATGAAAGGGACGCTGGAAAACCACCCGAACCCATTGGTACCCCTGCAAATGGCGACGGTGGTACTCGTAGTACAGCAGACTCCACATCGCATACGGATGGAGCCAGCACACCTGATGTCGTAAGTAGTATTTACTATTAAATTTAATCTTTATTTATACTCCACGTATAACGTATATTTACACACACGCTCCGGCAGCACACTTTTATTTTTAAGCTCGTTGATGTAAAGCAGATTAAAAATTGCTCGTAATTAATCTAACACTTTTTTCAATATTAGCACATCAGTAACGCGGAAAGAAATTTGTTTTCGAACTTAACATTCTAATATGTTATATTTTGGTTTACATAATTTATCTTAGAACGTTATCCGGAGTTATGTTAGCCTCGAAGGTAATCAATTTATTTTTCGTGGTATTAATATGTATCTGTTAATTATGTGTCTATAAAAAATCGATTTAAATTATTACTACTTTAGTTCGAATGCACTATGTACCTTTAGTAATCAAGTTTATGTTTGTAACTTTGTTGACTAATTTAAAATTAACGTTAATAGATTATCTCATGCTGCAGTCTTTATTGCATCCCACAACGGTCAGGTTAAAATACCGCTTGATTAAATTTAATGAACTGTATTTTTTTCTGATAATTCGCAATGCGAGCGAACGAAGAAAGCACTTCGCGCAATCATTTTACATTAAGATTTTCCTTCGCATTGAAAAGATTTATCCCATTCGATTTTATAGTGTCGTATCACGGTAATCAAATAACTCAAATTTGTGTACGTGTGTTTAATGTTATCCACACCCGTACATTCTCTCTTAAAATACTTCTTATACATTCCCTTACAAGGATTTTCAAAGATATTTGCATAGAATTTCTATTCTTATTCACCCCACATAACTCAAATTGTTTTATATCACGACTACGGCGTAAAAGGTGCCTTGCTTCAGTGTATTAGCCAAACAATTAAAGAAAAAGTGAACAAAGCGATTTCTTCGCCCGATTTCGATGCAACCGCAAAATATTAGTTCATTTTCGTGATGCTGTTTGCAAAAAGCAGGGGGAGATGTACGAAAGGGAGTTTTACTGGTAATTGGTGTCAATTTAGACTGACGCATCACTCATGCGAGCGAGGGATTATATTACACCCTCTCATATACCGTCACCTCTTGACTTATTTTTATAAGTATCGACGGGTTTCGTACATAAAATATTGATTTAATCAAATATTAAATGAACGAAATTATTTAATCTACCTGGAGATACGCTCTTTGATAGCTTGACGCCGATACAGTTGTGTTATTTAGCCCGAGTTTCTCTCGGTGGGGAGCATTCGGTGCTGAAATAAAACCATTTCGGGCTCTCTGGTGAAAAATGTGGCGACGTAGGGTCGCGACGCGATTCAGAAAGCGGATTTAGCAGTTTGGTCACTCGATCATTTTACAAGATCGATTGTTATTGAAAATTAACAACTCTCTTATCACCCCTTTTTGTCCGCAGATATTTATACCCCATTTATTAAAATTCGCATTTATGGACAATTCAATTTACATGTAAATGTAGAGCTAGTATCCATATTTACCAAAAAATATCAGTTTTTCTTCGCCACCATTTAATGATTGTGCTAGAAGAAAACAAATGAACTTAATTCTCACAACAATGCAGGCTTAAAGTGTGAGTGGAATTTACAAAAGTAGGACCTTTACCTCTTTCATAACATGCATAAAAAATGCAATGCCTCGTCGTTTGTACTTACCTGTGTAACAAGTAGGATTTAAAAATGTAAGACAAGTAAAAACAAACATAGTGAAAGTCCTAGCCAAATCACAACGTACATTCACTTTGGCCAATCGATGACAGAAATAAACGCACTATAGAAAGTGTTTCCAACAGATATTTGGCTTTAAATAGTATTCGCATAATAAAATAGGTACCATCAGATTTGTGGCAAGGTACCGAGATCGGAGATCTATGGACAGTTTTATACTCACTTACCTTCCTACAGTAAACAAAATGTCCGTTTTTTACCTTTTTCCCATAATTGGCCAATTCGTCAGTCAGGATATATGGGCGGATCGGTGCTCAATTACAACTTCTATACATATTGACCTCCTGAGACAGTATGCCAGTATACATGCTCAAAACAATCTTGGCTTCATAATAAAAGGCGCGTCAAGTAAATACCATTCACTCTAAAAATAGAAAAAAAAGTTTATTTAAGTCGAAAATAGTGTCTTGTTACGGTATTGTAAATGTAAAAAACACAGGGCTAGATGTAGCTAGTGCGGCGCGATATCGGATATAACGAATTGACAGTTGATAGTTGACGATGGTCAAATTAGTGAAAAGTTGCGCATTTAAGAGTAATTATCGTCCTGCAAAGAAAAACAGAACATTTCGATTACTGCCCAAGATAGGTGTGCCAGAAAAACCTAAATTTTCTGATTTTGTTTTTATTTTTTTTAATCTTATACGAACAGCTACAGAAAATTAAAAAACCACTTTCTCATTGGCACAATTTGAGATCCACTTACTACAAGACACCGTTGAGAGATTTTCAATACAATGTTTCGTGTCGGAAAAATCATTATCAGCTTTATTTTTTGATATGGCCCGTAAAAAGGTACATACTGTATTGAGTAGCATTTTTTATGATAAATAAATCGGAAACTGTTGGTTTCAACAGAATGGTGCACTCGCGCCAAATTCTCTAATCGTGCGAGAATGCCTATCGAACATATTTTCCATTTCCTAGGACATTTGTTTGTGCGCGGGTGCACCATCATGTTGAAAAATCAATTTCCAACTTTTGTTTTATTTGTGTGCCGTACATCGTTGTATTTTAGTAATAAAAAATTCATTACAATAAGTACTTTTTTTACGGGCCATACACAAAAATAAAGTTGATGATGATTTCTCCAAAACGAAACGTTGTATTGAAAATCTCTCAACCCTATCTTGTACAGTTCAAATAGTGGGAATGAGAAAGCTTTTTTTATATTTTTTTGCATCTGGTCAAATAACATCAGAAAAACAAAAAAAACGAAATCGGCAACTTTCGGTTTTTCTGGTATACCTTCGGAAGTAATCGCAACTTTCTTTTCTTTAAAAGCATGATAATAACTATTTAAATACGCATCATTTCTCTAATAACAAAAATATCATGTGTTGATACAGGGGTATATTGAGTGATAGAATGGATCAAAATGAGCACTTTTTTCAAATAAACCGAGGGTCCAACGTGTTTCGTTTGGTGTGCGCGCCCTTTCGTGGTAGGAATTTTGAAAAAATTTTTGCAACATCGGAAAGTGCATACCCAAAAACCTATTGAAAGACGTTCCACCGGTCTTTGTAATGGTTTCCGAGAGAAAAATTAAAGAATAAATGCAAATTTCACCACTTTTATGGGGGTGGTCCCCAAACGAAACACGTTGGACCCTCGGTTTATTTAGAAAAAAAGTGCTTGTTCTGATTCCCTCTACCACCCAATTTTTTTTACATAGTTACATGTAACACCCTGTATAAATGATCACTTGTGTAGCACGGCGACACAGAAGACGTTAATTTTTCGTTCAATTTATAGTTAGAGACTTACACTGCTTTAACGAAGGCGGTGGAATGTGACCGCGGGTTTTTAAAGTGTAGAGCTTCTTGTTATTAGCAGCCCTTGCCTCAAATTCTCACAAAAATGTCTACTTCCCAAGGAGTGGGAGAGGAAATTAATTTTTATAAGACTGCAATTTTGTGCCGGAATAGTCGAACTCACTGTTATCGCCCTAGAAGCAAACATATAAAAAGTCTAAACATTTCGAAGTTAGTCCAACGAAATTTTGTTGCAAAAATGGGACGCAACCTATCAAAGTTTCAGAAACTGCATTATTTGCAAGCTCCAACCCCCACACCGACTGGCCTATAATAGGGATATTTTCTCTTTGCGTACCGATATATTAAATAATTATCCCAGCACAAGGAACACAATATAATTTTTTCCCAACAACTTGGGCGGTATCGCAGAAGAATAGTAGCGGGTTTAAGAATTATGAATGGCAGGGTTGTACAAAATAACGATGTAAGTGTCAATATTATATACACATATGGATATGTTTTGTCCATCCGTTGGCGAATATAAACCCGAGCAGTTTAACGTAGTATTATGTAAGAATATACAGTGATATTCATTTAGAAGTAGACATAGGGATTTGTATGTATTGTTTTCCCTATCTCTACTTTTAAATGACTTCTGAAGGACGTCTAATTTTATGCAACCAAAATAACTTCTTAATGAAGATCTGGCTGTCTTACTGTCGCTTTTATTAAAATCCCGAATGACAGTGCAAAATGCGTGTGCATGTTATTTTGGCTGCATAAAATTAGTCGTCCTTCGGAAGAGTTTTTGTCATTTAAAAGTGGACAGCCGCATCACCAGACACAGATAACTTCAAAACTTCTAATCTTCACTTTTCCTAAGATTGTTAGGAGATTTAAAGAATTAGATACATCAGTAGACGTTCTGTGGAAATGGAAATATGTTTGGAAAATACGAAATTGCATATTGCAGAGTTGGCCAACTGTAAACTAGGCAGGGGTATTTCCAATAAAAATGTAAAGAGAGTGTAATGTTATGAATTTATAATACATTTATGGAATTGGAGAAAGTAAATGTTAATAGTATCTAGGGTTAGTGGAAATAGTAGCTACTTTTGCTGATTTGCAGACTTTACATGCTAGTCAAATGTGGGATTATAAAAAAATACTTATCTAAACATAAATAATACATAATTCAAAATTGAGTGCAAAGATTTTAAGGGCGTATTTACCAGCCAAAGATAGGAAATTTTTTTCATATAATCGTATGTTCTAACTTGCTTCGTTTTCTAGATACAGGGTGGAAAAGTTTAAAAAAATCTGTTTTTAACAATTATTCTAAAACCTTTCAGCCGATTTAAATAAAATTTGGTAGGATTATTTGGTGTCATAAGGGCCTTCCTTTGGTGGGAATAAAATAAACAAAAACCGACTTTTTAAAAAACTTATCTAGAAAACGAATCAAGTTAGGACGTACGATTATATGAAAAAAAATTCTTATTTTTTGCTAGTATAACGCCCTTGTTGCATTCA